CGTCCCATTGCTATGTGAAGACAAGAATGTGCCCTATGTGTTTGTGCACTCCAAGCAAGCCTTAGGGAGGCCCTGTGGGGTCTCCAGGCCTGTCACTGCATGTTCTGTCACTATCAAAGAAGACTCACAGCTGAAGCAGCAGATCCAGTCCATTCAGTAGTACATCGAAAGGCTCTTAGTCTAAACTGGTGGCCTCTTCCACACTCACCCTGCTCACTCCTCCCCCTGAGCTTGTGTATCATATTGTCTATATTAGCAGGTAGTATTTTCAGCTACTCTCTATTGTTATAAAACATTGTACTAAAAAAAACAAACAAACAAAACTGTGGCTCACCTGTATTAGATTCTAGCCTTGTCTGCAATGCCAGATCATAGAATGAGACATAGCTATTTAACTAAAATGATCTGTTAATAGTACTAAGAAACTGGCCAAAGAATGTAGAATTATATACAGTAGTCATATTTGCTCCAATTTGTTCTTTTTTCCCCTCTGCTTCTTAGCCCTGAGATAACATATTAGGTTTGAATATGTAAAATCTTTTAATTTCAAAGTGGGCACTGAGAAAAAAAACAAAGTTAAAAATATTTACCCCAATGTATATGTCTCTGACATATTTTGGGATGACTGCCCCAGAAGTAACATTATAAAAGCTTGCCGAGAATACTTGTCCAAATGTGCAGACTATATGCCAAAAGAAATGTGATTAGTGATTTGTCTTTAAGACTGATGGTAAAAAAGCCTTAAGGCTCAACAAAGATTTCCTGTGACCAAACTGGAAGGAATCTGTGCAGTATTAAATACTATCAGCTGTGTCTATATAGATAACGTCAAGAGAAATTGAAGCCTGAATAAAATTTCCCACTAGGCTTAGTGCCTATAGCTCAGCAGCTAGGGCACCAGCCACATACACCAGAGCTGCCAAACAATGATAACTATAACCAGAAAATAGCCAGGCATTGTGGCAGGCGCCTGTAGTCCCAGCTACTCAGGAGGTTGAGGCAAGAGAATCACTTAAGCCCAAGAGTTTGAGGTTGTTGTGAGCTATGATGCTACAGCACTCTACCCAGGGTGACATAGTGAGACTCTGTCTCAAAAAAAAAAAAAAATTCCCACTAAATGATGTGGCTACAACATGGCCTCATAAGTGGCCCCACACTTAACTGATTTTCAGGAATATTCACTTGAATAGCCCAAAACTTTATATTAGTTCTATAGAGACTCTTTTTTTCTCTTAAATTTTTATTAAATCATAACTATGTACATTAATGCATTTATGGGGTACAATGTGCTGGTTTTATATACAATTTGAAATGCTTACATCAATCTGGTTAACATAGCCTTCACCTCACTTAATTATTGTGTTAATATATTTATCCTCTACTCTATATTAATAGATTTCACAGGTACCCTTGCAATATGTACCATAGGTGAGGTCCCACCGATTACCTCCCTCCATCTGTCCTCCCCTTTCCTCTCCCCTCACCCTTCTTTTCCTTCCTTCAACCTGGGCTATAGAGACTCTTAAAACTAAGTATTATCTTAAGAACTCTGCTAAGACTGTAAAAAAAGAATACTAATGTTTTCATTGTGCAAACCTTAGGCTCAAAACCCAGAACTTACAGATATTTGTAGGTGACTGCTAAATGGTTTCATTCTTTTCTTTTTTTCTGAGTTTACAATTTATTGAGGTGACACATAATTTGAAAGGTTAGTTATAATATTTTTAATAATTGCAGTGATTGGAGTTTGTACAAGGTCTTTATGGAGCACTATGTGTGTGTCTTCTCATCGATAGTGTAAATGGTTTCATTCTTTTACACTTGATACAGCCCTGACTTCATCCCTGTCAGTGTAAACAAGCCAGATTGAACCTCTGTTTACTTTTTTACCCTGGAGGAGTTTTTGAGATATATTTTCCAGATCCTGCATTCCAGTAATGGAGCCATGAAAACCAAGGAACTGACTCAGCTGGCCTTGGACCTACTACCCATGATGCCTTCCCAAATTTCTCAAGGCCTCCAACAAATGACCTTTGATTTCTGTTATGGCAAGCCTAGCTACTTCCTCAGCTACACTGTGCCACCCTCCGAATTGCTGAAGAAGAGGTCCCTTGCCCTGCTTCCTGAAACCTACATGCATTCTAGCTGGTACCCAGATTATCTTCAGGACTTGGGGAAAAAGGCCTGATGAACTCAAGGGAAACTGGCCTTTCCCTTTTGACTGGCCTTTGAACATCCTACTTGCAACTCCTATAATAGTCAAATTGTCTGGATTACAACATTCCCACATCTAGTCTTATGTCTCTGAGAAAAAGCAGCAAACTCAAGCTGGACTAGTGGACTACAGAACTGTGCAGAAATGAGGGTTAAAAACTTCAGTTGTTGGGACAGAAAGTATGTTAATCTTAGACATCTTTGTTTGTTATTGTTTAATGTGTCTTTAGTTGTCTTTTATTAACTGTGTTTCATGTTGTTCCTAGTATAACTTTAAACCTGTCCCTTTCCTGAATAAATTCAATCCCAGGACAAGTGCAAGAATTCGTAGTCATTATTCCTATTTAAAATCTATTTCATAGGGCAGTGCCTATAGCTCAGTGGGTAGGGTGCTGCTGGCCACAAACACCCAGGTTGGTGGGTTTGAACCCAGCTGGGGCCGGCCAAACAACAATGACAACAACAACAACAACAACCTAGCCGGGCATTGTTGTGAGTGCCTGTAGTCCCAGCTACTTGGGAGGCTGAGGCAAGAGAATTGCTTTCGCCCAAGAGTTTGAGGTTTCTGTGAGCTGTGATGCCATAGCACTCTACTAAGGGCAACATAGTAAGACTCTGTCACAAAAAAAATCTATTTCATAGATATGAAATGTGGTAGGTAATAGGAGTAGGGAATGAAAGTACATGAGTACATGTAGGGAGAATAAAATGGAATCCGTCAGGCTAGGGCTGACATGACGCAGCTGGTCTGGTCAGTTTAAGTCCTGCCTGATGGTCACCTTCTGTCTCCCATTCTCACCGTTTGGTAAATTTAGCTCCCACCCTAAAGATGCCTATCTTGAGTAGTTTAGGTGGCTTGATTTAGGACATTAACTTTTGAATTAGAATATTGTTTTATGCCATAATTATTGTTTACTATGGTTCATGGGCTTTGCTGATTATTTTTTAAGATAAGGGTTAACATGGTCTTCACTTTGAACTTAAATGTATAAAACTGTGACATTGGAAATGGAAGATCAGAACAGTCTTGGAGAGGCTACTCACTTTCTCTAGAATCCTAGCCTTTTGACAAATAAAGTTTGGTAGACCTATCTCTGTCTCTACATATTGGCTGACAGTGATAGGTGGCAGGACGCTCTTAGTCCAGTAACACTTTGGTCCTGGAAAATAGCTATAGTTAAATATTTCCATCCAACCAATTTTGTGTTCTGAGAAAAGGCTTACTTGCTGAAGGGAGTCAAGAAATTTTAACCCAAAATATAACTTCTTGAGAGTATTTTGAATAACAGGCCAATTGAGATCAAAGAAGCATGGAAGGGCCTTTTTCTCTATCTTCATAAACCAGAGTAACAGATCTAAAGAATAATGGACTTTCCTTTCTCTCCCTGTTACCTCAGTACCTTATAGGGAAAACCTATCAAGAATGCAACCAGACATGGCCCAAATTATTTTAAACACTATGTCTTTCTCTCAGGTTTATTTGTAAGTCATTCTGTTTCCCCCATTCATTCTTTCTCCCAGGTCTATTCATTTTCCTTAACAACTGTTTATTGCCCCTAAACAGAAATACCTGTATTCCTCACCTCTCCCTCCCCTCTGAAAGGACAGGTAAAAATATCTGAACTTTATTGGGATATTGAGTAATCACTCTGATTCTCCTCACATACATGGTTAAATAAACTTGTCTCTTGTTAATCTGCCTTACTTGTAAATTGATCTATCAGCAAATTTTTGAGGCTAAAGGAAAGTTTCCTTCCATTCCTGCATTACAAAGATCCACTCTTAACCATACAGCTTGGGTAAGACTCATGTCTCCTTCTTTAATTGATGGTAGGCCAGACACAGACCCTTTGAATTCCCATTCTTTGCCTCATAAAAGATTAGCTGAACTGTTTACAGGCACTGATCAATAGAAACAAAACGATTATTATCTTCAGCAAACATTACTTAAGCTTCTCTTCTTTATACATGTTCCTGAATTTGACCTACTTTTCTCCTGACTCAGTATACAACTCTTCATAAGAATTAACTGACTTCGGGGAAAATATTCCTTGAATATCTTAATGTTTTCATACTGGTCTCTTTGTAGCCTTGCTGACTTTCCCCTGAAAAAGAAAATTTCTATATGCCTAGATTTTAAGATGCTTGTACCTTTTATGGTTGGATTCTTCTCCATGTTTCAACAGTCTTTTTTCTTTGGTTGCAATAATCTTTTTGAATAAAGTTTCTCTTTACCTACATCCGGATTTGCTTTTATTTGATAATAAAAATTACCAAATTGGGCTCAGCGCCTATAGCTCACCGGCTTGGGACCAGGCCACATACACAGGAGCTGGTGGGTTCAAACCCAGCCCAGGCCTGCCAAACAACAATGACAACTACAACCAAAAAATAGCCGGGCATTGTGGTGGGTGCCTTTAGTCCCAGCTACTAGGGCAACTGAGGCAAGAGCATCGCTTAAGCCCAAGAGTTAAAGGTTGTTGTGAGCTGTTGCACCATGGCACTCTATTGAGGGCGACATAGTGAGACTGTCTCAAAAAAATAAATAAAATGAAAATTACCAAATTGTTTTGTGTATGCTTAGATTATGTATTCCATCTTCTCCCAGTTTTGTAGGTATTTTTTCAGAGAATGATGATGACAAATTCATGTTTGTGTTCTCAGCCTGTCTTAATCTCCCTCTGTGTCTGACTGATTCCTAAAATGGTTTACATCAGTTTCTGTTTCAGTTCCTAAGCTTGTTGTGTCTCTCTGTCTAATCTCTTTCCCAAGTTTTCCTCACCTACCTGTCTCTTGAGGCTCAGTTCCAGTCTGCCGGTTGCTGCAGAGAAATCTGCATGAAGAGTAGGTTCTTTTCTATTCCTGTAGGCAAGAGAATCGCTTAAGCCCAAGAGTTTGAGGTTGCTGTGAGCTATGACACCACAACATTCTCCCAAGGGTGACAACGTGAGATTCTGTCTCAAAACAAAAAAAAAAAAAAAAGAAAGAAAGAAAGAAAAGAAAAGAAAAAAGAGTAAGTTCCCGACTCACAGCTGCTAACTCTACACCTCCACCCCAGGCTTTGGCTTGGTATTGTGAGAGAAGTAAATTTATCCAGGAAGCAGGAAGTGCAAAGCTGGTTTCACTTTTCTTTGCTGTTTTTTTTTTTTTTCTTTTACAAAAAGTCAGCCGATTAAAAGGAAACCCGTTTATATTTTGTCATGAAACCTGGATTTAAAATTACCAAGAACTGTCGCGAGCAAGCGAGCAGATGGATGCAAGACTGCAGGAGCAGAGCAATCCTTAAATCAAAGGAACTAGTTTCTTCAAGCTCCTCTGGCAGTGATTCAGACAGTGAAGTTGACAAAAAGTTAAAGAGGAAAAAGCAAGTTGCTCTAGAGAAACCTGTGAAGAAGCAAAAGACTGGTGAAACTTCAAGAGCTCTGTCATCTTTCAAACAGAGCAGCAGCAGCAGAGATGATAACATGTTTCAGATTGGGAATATGAGGTACATTAGTGTCTAGGACTTTAAAGGGAAAGTTCTTATTAATATTAGAGAATATTGGATGGATCCAGAAGGTGAAATGAAACTAGGAAGGAAAGATATTTCTTTAAATCCGGAGCAGTGGAGCCAGCTGAAGGAACAGATTTCTGACATTGACGATGCAGTAAGAAAACTGTAAAATCCGAGCCATACAAAACCTGTACTGTTCTAGTTGTTTTAATCTGTCTTTTTACATTGGCTTTGTTTTCTAAATGTGCTCCAAGCTATTGTATGTTTGGATTGCGGAACAATTTGTACGATGAATACTTTTTTTTAATGTGCATTATTAAAAATGTTCTGAGTGAAAAAAAAAAATTACCAAGAACTGAAGTACACTCTTAATAGTAGTCTGTACTAAAGGAACTATTCAAAATCAAATAATTCTGAGTTTATGTTGTCTTTCTATAAAATCTAAGAAGCCAGTAATGAAATTTAACCTAGGTTCTGTAATTAACATTTCAGTATTTTATCATACTTAGAAATGACTGAAATATTTCATGAGTAAAACTTAAAGGTGCTGAAAAAGATTTTTAAAACTATGAGAAGTTCACTTATAAACTGCTATCCCATTTACAATTCACCTGATTTACTCATTCTTAACAAATGTACTTGAATTGTTCATTAAACAAAACTGGAGATCATCTAAAGTTATTTGCCTGTTAACCAATTTTACAGCTTGCAAATGTTAGGTAGTTTTCACCTAGGTAAGAACCCTAAAGTTTAAGTACATAGGTATTTTGCTGATCAAAAAGTGTAGCTATTTTCATTAAACCATCAATATTAAACTACTCTTATTTACCAAACATTTATCCAAGTCATGTGAACTGCAAGGCATTACAATATTTTTAAGAGCCTTCTTTTTTTTTTTCCTTTAAGGCAATTACTTAGAGCTCTTCTATATATTTTGGTAGAGAAATATAACATACACATAATACATATATCCATATGGACACAGAGAAACACAGATCAAAACAAATATTATAGCTATTACTGAGAGTATTCATTTGGCAGTTTTTGAAGATTCCACACCCTGTTCCTTTCCTTTAGGTAATTGTTAGCTAGGAGACCCTAACTTTGGACTTCCTAAGGCATGGTTCTCAGGTGAAGCAAGACAGAAAATTTACAGAACTTAGATATAAACACAATTATTTGCCCAAAGATAAAGAAGGATATAGCTGAAGGCCCAGTAAAGACGATATGGTCAGGACAAGTAACTTAAACAAAAACAAAGGTAAAGTTTGTTATGTGAACTTTAAGCGAATGCCTCTCCCTGCCATTGGAAAAGTTTCTAGTGGTTGAGTTGTAGAAAGATGGATGCCCTTACAAATGGAGACTTTCAATATAGATGTAATTTATTTATTTTATTTTATTTTATTTTTTGAGACAGAACCTCAAGCTGTCCCCCTGGGTAGAGTGCTATGGCATCACAGCTCACAGCAACCTCCAACTCCTGGGCTCA